AACGAGAGAAAAGTGAAGGGGAATAGATAGATAGATAAATAGCAGTAAAAGACTGACTAGGTCCATGGAACTAGGTAAAAGAACCACTATTGAAGAGAGACAGGAGCCGAAAGAGATGGACCCGAGCAGTCACTAGATGCAACAGTAGGGACAGAGACAGGAATAGACACGGAGTTGTCAACTCTTGTATCCACAGAGGGCAAAAGACTCTTCACATGGTGTGAGAAAGACTCTGAAGAAGGCACAGAAAGATCTGTCTGCACTCCAACTGTAGCAGTGGAACGTAATGCAGCAGCACATGTCCGAGATGGAGTAGAGGACAATAGCTTCAGAGAAATGTTGTTTACAGTATATAAACGTTGTACCTATTTCTCCTCCACCCACTTAAAGCAAGATTGAAAGTAAAAGAGGTGAGAACCACCAAAATTTACGCAGTGAAGGTCCAGTTAACACTTGCCACTACATTGAGCACACGTCAAAGAAAACAACTACAAGATCCCTTTGAAAGTCCGAGCCGCTGACACTGCAAACACCTGAGAGGGTTAGGAATATATGGCCATACCTTACAGTTCAGATACCATGCCTTGTCAGTGGCAGGCAGACATTTCGATGTAAATGTCAATAGAAGAACATTGGTAGGCAGCATAATTCCTTCTTTATAAGTGGAGATATGTCACACAGCTGACACTCCTTGGCTGGAAAAACCAGCGAGGATCTCCAACTCGGGGATGATTTTTAAATCCCTATAAACAATCACTTCTCGGGAGGAATTCAAAGTAGCAAGGGGAATAGCCTCAATATGTATATCCCCACTGGCATTCGAATTCAGAAGGACTTCACTGTGCAGAATTGGGTGACTGCTGTTTTCTTATTAGTTTATTTTTTCAGAATTTGTGGTATCCATAAGAAAATCAAAATGACTCAGTGTTCACTGACCCCACCCACCGTGGAGTCCTATAAGTTACACACTACAATGCCAAACAAGAACATTGTAGCAACGTCATGGCTTCATGAGCACTATACCCAAACACTAGCATCAGACACAATGTCCAGAACACCCTTTGAAAGCCCCAACACTGGTACTTAGTTGACCCTAGCCCAACAGGTCTAGCCGATTGACCCTGGGGATCCACCTCAAGGCCACCTGTCCAGAGGAATTCAAGGCTAAAGTGGTGTGCTGAAGTGCCACTGATACCTCTCAACCACCAGGATCCTCTCCTCCCCTTCACGGGTTGCCAAGCACGGCAAACACGTGGGTGGATGTTCAGATCTCAGAGGAGGTAAACGGAGTGTAAAGAACCTTCCCCGAGAGGTCCCCTCACCACGTACAGGAATCCAGCTCGAGGGGTTATAGCGTAGAAGAACTAAAGGTGACCTGGTTTGAGGGTTTAAATTATTAAGAGAATGGATAAACTGGTAATGGAAGGTTTGTTTGGATTAGGGAAAGATAAAGTGGGAGAAATATATTCTGAATTTTATAGAAAATAAATATAAGCAATGAATATCCAACTTCAGTGTGATTTTAATCCCACTCCTTCGTCCATT